GGAGAGAGGGAGAGACCTGATTTTACGCGTGGGCTTTGCTGTTCCAATTACATTCGCAAGCTCAGCCTCCAACTCTTTTTTCTTAAATAGACAGGACGTAAAAGGATAAGAAGTTTGCAAAAAATTACCAACAAATCACGTGGAGAAGAATTCAGATCAACTCTTAAATTAACATACCATTGTATCTCGCATTTTTTCGAACAATATAGATTTGACAGGATCTTTTCCTATCCAACGGCAAAGCTCTAGTGTCAGGCCTTTCGAAGAGGCACGAACATTCTGATCTTGATGATCAAAAAGTTCTGGAAGCATCTTCAACATTCTTTTTGGCGGTACTATCTTTGACCCGAATTCACTGATTCATTATCCACCAACATGTCATTGCAAAGACAAACCAAAAAGAAAGACATGGAGGCAACAGTAATTAATCACGCACCTTAACGCCTGAAACATGACATCTATTGCTGGGACTACAGCTTTAGCAACTTTGTTCTTTATTGCTTTCTCCATAGCATCCTACAAAAAAAGTAGCGCGTGAATTAGGAACAGAAAAGTACAGATCCAACTTCCGACCAAAAATCAAAGGTAAGCAAAACTACAGTAAGAGGTGCAGAAAGGTAAATTTACATCTGAGCAAGAATAGTAAGCAAATCAAGTGCAATAAACAAATTTTAAAAGTCATTTTCAATAAATGAAAAACATGCATAAACCAGCCAGAAAACGAAGGCCACATTACCGACACTCTGTTCATTTCGCACATGTTGACCTCATGAAAGTCATTCACATAATTAATGGGAAAAGAATGTGATTGGTCCCATTACATTCGTTCAAAATGACTTCTCAATTCGACTTTTTTCTAAAAGCAGAAATGAAGGTATAGTTCACTAACTCGACGCTGGAAACTTATGGGAATTCTTGCAACCTAAAGACAAGTGTCTTGGCTATCATTCAAAAATCACGACTTGCCCGATATCTCCAAGTCCTTAACATGCCTAGAGGCTAAAGATAAATGAAGATCCTAATATCGGACCAAGACCAACAACACAATAACTGATAAGTGCATTTCGCTTTAGCAAGTTCACTTTTACACTTTAAGTAACCATTGTAAACATACACTAGGGTTGCTTCAGAATGTAGTTTGCCACAATTCCAATCATATAAAGTTTTCACTATTTCAGAATGCCATTAGCAACCAAACTTATTGTTGTTCAGAAGGCATTGATGCCTTAAAATTGAAACATACCAGGAAAGGTTCAACAGCCTCCAACTCTACCCAGAGCATAAATGCCATCTGTGCCTTTTCTACTGTTTTGGGCCTTCCAGTCAGGCACTTTGCCACTATTGCATCGCATACCTCCTTCGCGTATCTAAACCCAGCAGCAAACCCAAACAAAAAAAAAAAAGATAACATACCAATTAAAAAAAGGAAATGTCAAGTGAACTTGAAAGATAAATTCAAATGAAAATAACTTTCAGATAATGAACCTTCCAGCATCAGCATCCGCAGCTTTCAAAAACGCAACGAGGGCATCCAGAGCTTTCTCCTGAACGGGCGCATTGGAATCCGCCACGGTCTTCCGGAAAAACGGACCTAACCAAAGTACAGGAAGATAAAAACTTTGAAAACAAACGTAAACAGAACATGAATCCGCACACATTAAACCTAACTCGTTTACTATTTCCCTAACAGATCAACTACTCCACCAGTTCCATCGACCATCAAACGAAATCAGATCTACGCGAGAACCAAACTAAGTTTCTCACCGAATTCACGGAGCCGCGGGTCCTTGGGATCAGATATGGAGTCGCAGACGGCCGCCAAATCAATATTCGCGTCATTTCTCACCTTCCAATTCTTGTGCGTCAGGCGATCCTCCCACGGCAATTTCTTCGCCTCCTTGAGCAACTTCTCGTCCTCCGACATTATCCTAATTTAGGTCGATAAAAATGTGTAAAATTCAAATCCGGAGTTGCGAATCGAACGCGACGACGACGACGCCGTAACGCTGCTTTCGCCTTCTCGAAGTTCGCCGTCAACTAATATTTTGTCGGCCGAGCGCCGGCGAGTCGCGATTGAGGGTTGAGTGTATCTAAAAGGAAAAGAAAAATGAAAAATAAAACAGAGGAGAACAGTAAGGGGAAAACTAGTTTTTTTATGTTTTACGTTTTATGGCGAGTGGGGAGCGAAACTTCCATTTTAAATATCAGCGCGTGCGGATATGGAAAGTCGACCACGTGGCTGATCCAACCGCTGTAAGAGAGTCGTCTAGTTCAGACTCCTCCAGAGCGCGTGGGGTTACAGTGCTTTAGTTCAGCGGTGCAATTTGAAAGTGACCCTGAGCGGGGGCCCACAGCCGGGTTGGGAGCGGACAGATACAAAAGTGCTCGCAAAATAGTTGCAATTTCAAATTATGTATCTGAAGGGTTAAGATTGCCTGCGGCAAAGCTCACCGTTAGATGGTGAATTCAAATCGGATCTTGAGGCTGTGAAGTTGTATTAGTATTAAGTATTAACCGTCGATTATAAAGAATATTGTGATCCATCGAACGTGAGGTGACCGCACACCTTTATTATTTCCTTCTTGTGGAGACGGCGGTTTAAATCACGGATTAAACGGCTATGTTTATTTAAAATTAACGAGTATTTTAATGTGGGAATATGCATTGAGTCCTCCATACAAATTAGTATTTGATCATGTAAACATACACAAATGCGAATAATATTTTATGTAGTATATGTGTGTTTATGTAATATGTAAATTCATAAATTAGGTAATGAACATTTATATCAGGTTTTATAAATTTTATCATCAGTAAAAATTAATAATATAAATATAAATTGTTTAACTTATATATTAATTTATATATTGATGCAATATTGGGTGATTGTTGGGTAATACAATAATGTAATGAAAATTACCTCAGTTATCTCCTATCACGCCCTATGCTCATATGTACACACTCTTGCACGGGACCCAGTTTGCTCTTGTCTATGTTCGTGTGCACACACTACTGTACGAGACTTAATTTGGCTTACCTTATGCTCATATGTACACACTCTTGCACGGGCAGGGCCGTCTCCAAAAATTTAACGGCCCTAGACAAAATTTTCGATTTTGATTTGTAGTTGTACATAGATATCTAGAAATTTTTAATTAATTGGACAATCTTAGACATTATGCCCTTGTTTGCTTTTTGGGATTGGATTGGACTAATTTAGTCCAACTGGATAGGATTGTACTGTTGGGATTGGACTAATCCTATGTTTGTTATATAGAATAAGGAGTAGGATAAGTTTAGATTAAAAATAAAAATAAAAAATGTGTAGATGGTGTAAAATACTTTTATACCCCTTTCTATTAAACCAAAAACCATTCTTCCCCAATTCTCCCACCACAAAAATCGAAACAGTTTTGGTGATATCATTTTACACCCTTCTCTTGAGAAGCGGATTGAGCAGCTGGCAAGTGCAACAGCAAATACAAAAGCCCATCAGGCACCGTTCAGAAACATGCTCTTTTATGGGCCACCAGGAACAGAAAAAACCATGGCTGAAGATGGTAAAACTCCGAGAAAGATCGGGAATAGTCAACACCGGGGCTGAAGTTAATCTCCTTTTGAGCTCCTGAAAGCTCGCCTCACAACGATCAGTCCACTCGAACTTCACAGACTTCCTCGTCAGCTGGGATAATGGGAGGGCAATCTTAGAAAAGCCCTCGATGAACCTGCGATAATAACCAGATAAACCGAGAAAACTGCGAACCTCGGACGGACTCTTCGGTGTCGACCAGTTCTGAACAGCTGAGACCTTAGAAGGATCCACCTCGATACCTGCCTGAGTAATCACATGACCCAGAAAAGCTACTCGCTGGAGCCAGAACTCGCATTTGGAGAATTTGGCGTACAACTTTTCTCGTCTGAGGGTTTCGAGAACCACCCTCAGATGCTCCTCGTGCTCCTTCTGGCTCTTTTAGTAGATAAGAATATCGTCAATAAAGACAATAACAAACTGATCGAGGTAGGGATGGAAAATACGGTTCATCAGGTCCGAAAACCGCTGGAGCATTGCTGAGGCCGAATGGCATGACAACGAACTCGTTGTTGGTGTTATATACTTAAGCTTTGCTTTAGTGGATATTACACTTGTTATTCCT